TGTGCAAAAATTAACTCAAAGTAGATCTAAGGTCTAAAGTTAAGAGCTGAAACTTTTAAGAGTATAAAACTCTTAAAAGAAGCCTTGGGGGAAATCTCCATGACCATGATATCATGGATATGATACCAAATGCATGGGCAACAAAGGAAAACACAGAGATTGGAATTCATCAAAATTAAGAAAGCTTGTGCATAAGAGGAGACCGTAAAAAAGTCGGAAGCTGACCTACAGAATAGGGGAAAGAGTTGCAAATACACATCTGACAAGGGTCCAATAACCAGAATATGCAAAGAACTCTCAAAACTCAGCAACAACAAAAACAACACAATTCAAAAAATGAGCAAAGAATTTGAATAAATGTTTCCTCAGAGAAGATATACACAAGGCCAACAAGCACGTGGCGTGAAAGTGTGCTCAGCATCAGTACTCATCAGGGCAAGGCAAATTAAAGCCACGATGAGATGCCACTTTACACCTACTGGCATGTCTGTAATTTTTTTACTTGTTTATATTTTATTAACTGAATTTATTGGAGTGACAAAATTATACAGGTTTCAGGTGCACAGTTCTGCAACACAGCATCTGTACACTGCGTTGTGTGTTCACCACTCCAAGCAAGTCTCCATCCATCCCCACTTAGTCCCCCTATACCTTCCTCCACCTCCACCACCTCCCCGCAGTCACCACATTGTTATCCATGTCCGTGAGTCTTTTTTTTTTTTCTCAATCCCTCCAAAGCCCTCCCACCCACTGGGCAGCTGTCAGCCTTTTTAAATTGTTGGGTTTTTTTAAAAAAGATTGTATTTACTTATTTTTAGGGAAGGGAGGAAAAAAGAGAGGGAGAGAAACATCAATATGTGGTTGCCTCTCATGCACCCCTCACTGGGGACCTGGCCCACAACCCAGGCATGTGCCCTGGGAATTGAACCAGTGACCCTTTGGTTCATAGGCTGGCACTCAATCCACTGAGCCACACCAGCCAAGGCTTTAAATTGTTTTTTAATGGAAAATAACAAGTGTTATTTGGGAGATGTGGAGAAACTTGAACCCTTGTGCATTGCTAGTGAGAATGGAAGATGGTGCAGCTGCTGTAGAGAACAGTTTGATGGTTTCTCAAAATGCTAAATGTAGGATGAACTCCTGCTTGAGTGTGGTTGGTAGGGTACATGAATGTCTTGCATCAAATGGACAGCATTTTGACGATTTCCCCTAAAATTTCATATGGTGTGCTTGAGTGTGATATTGCTATGTTTCAGAATTACATGCTTATGATTTTGTAATAAAAGATTCTTTAATTTAAAAAAAAAGCATGTTATTTGCACCAGACCCTGTATATATAACCCAGCAATTCTACTCCTAGGTGTATACCCACAAGGACTGAAAGCAGGGACTCGAACAGATGTCTGTATTTGCATCCATGTTCATCGTAACATTATTCACAGAGTCAAAGATGGAGACAACTCAAATGTCCACCAACACATGAAGAGATAAACAAAATGTGGTACATTATTCAGCCACAAAAAGGAATAAAATTTTGATACGTGGCTGCAATATATGTGAGCCTTGAAAACATATGCTGTGTGAAATAAGTCAGATGGTAAGACAAATATTGTATGATTCCACTTTATGAAACATATAGAACAGGCAAGTTCATGGAAACAGAAAGTAGATTAAGGTTACCAGGGACTGAGAGGAGGGAGAAATGAGAAGTAATTGCTTAATATTTACAGAATTTCTGTTTGGGCTGATGTAAGACTTTTGAAATAGCAGTGGTGGTTACATAAACATTGTGAATGTAATTAATGCCACTGAATTGCACACTTAAAATGGTTAAAATGGCAATTTTCATGTTATATATGTTTTACTACCACAATAACCACAACAACAAAAAAAATCTCACTCAAAAAAAGCAAAAGATGCTACATACTAAGTAAAAAGGGAGACAATAGATGAAGAGAAAATACTTGCAACATATACTGTAGTCACCCATCCCCAATTTTGCTCTCTGTACCTTCAGTTACTTGAAAATATTAAATAGAAACTCCCAGCCCTGGATGGCGTGGCTTAGTCAGCTGGAGCATCGTCCTGTAAACCAAAGGGTCATGGTTCGATTCCCAGTCAGGGCACATACCTAGGTTTCAGGTTTGATCCCTAGTCAGGGTGCGTGTAAGAGGCAACAATCCATGTTTCTCTCCCTCTCTCTCTCTCCCTCTCTCTTTCTCCCTCCCTTCCCCTCTCTCTAGAACCCATGGGCATGTCCTTGGGTGAGGATGTTTTAAAAACTTTCAGGAATAAAGAATTCATAAGTTTTAAATTACATAGCCTCTGCATGGCATGATGAAATCTCGTGCCTTCCCACTCTTTCCCACCAGTATGTGAGTCACCCTTTGTCCAGGGCATCCGTGCCCTATGTGCCCCCTGCCCATGTGACATTTGGTGGCCATCTTGGTTATCAGATCAGCCGTCAAGGTATCACAGTGCTTGTGCTCAAGTAACTTCTATTTTACTCAATAGTGGCCCCCAGATACAAAAGTGGCAATGGTGGCAGTTTGGATATGCCAAAGAGAAGCAGTAAACTTTATCATAGGTGTCTGTGTATAGAGAAAAACATAGTATATTTTGAACTCAGTACCATCCCCAGTTTCAGGCAATCAATGGGGTTCTTGCAATGTATCCCCTTGGGTAAGGGGGGACTACTGTATAGCTAATTAGTAAAATCCAGAAGGCATGAAGAACTCCCACAAATCAACTGAAGAACAGAAAACCCAGTGTAAAAATGGGCAATAACTTTTCTCAGAAAATGAAAACAGTCCACAAAAAATACAACTATGCACTACTAGTGAGGTGTAAGTTAAAGTATGACTGAAAGGTCACGTTTTCACATTCATCAGATTGGCAAAATTAAGAAATCGAATACCCTTCAGAGTTGGTCAGGGTATGGGGAGATGAAATCCATCATTCTCACTGGTGGGGCTGTCAATCTAACTTTTTAGGAGGGCACTTTGGCCGTCTCTCTCTCTCCCACCTCCCTTTCTCCCTCCCTCCCCGCTGACCAACACGCACAACCTTGAAGCCGACAATTGCACTCCAGTGTGTACAGGACAAACAGTTACATAAGTCAAGGTCCATCCACAAGCTGGAATTCCATGAAATACAAAGATGCCAGATCTGCATGTCCTAACATTGGGAACACGTGTGTATGTCTGAAATACTGTATAACACTTCTCCAAATCCAACAGGTTTATTTTCTGTTTCCAACTCATGACCTAGGGCCCTGGTTGGGCAGCTCAGCTGGTTAGAGCATTGTCTCACACCAAGGTTGCAGGTTCAATCCTCAACCAGGGGAGGCTGTGTATCGATTTTGATTGGATAAATGCAAGTATTTGGTGACAATTATCTTGAGGTAAATTTACAGGTTTTTTAAAATTATATTATATTTTATTTTTTAAAGATTTTATTTATTTATTTTTAGTGAGAGGGAGGGAGGGAGAAAGAGAGGGAAAAAACATCAAGGTGTCAGACATACATCAGTCAGTTGCTTCTCGCATGCTCCTACCCGGGGACCTGGCCTGCAACCCAGGCATGTGCCCCAACTGGGAATCGAACCAGTGACCCTTCAGTTCACAGGCCAGCACTCAATCCATTGAGCTACACGAGCCAGGGCAAAAATTACATTTTATTGATTATGCTATTACAGTTGTCCTGATTTATCCCCCTTTGGCCCACTCCACCCTGTACCACCCACTCCCTCAGGCAAACCCCCCACCATCGTTCATGTCCATGAGTCATGTGTAGAAGTTCTTTGGCTACTCCATTTCCTATGTTGTACTTTACATCCCCATGGCTATTAAGTAACTATTTATTTGTACTTCTAATTCCCTTGCCTCTTCACCCATTCTCCCACACCCCCTTCCCATCTGGCAACCATCAAAACATTCTCGATATTCATGATTCTACTGTTTTTCTTGTTTGCTTAGTTTGTTTTTATATTCAATTTTTGATAGATATGTTTACTGACATTTTACAGTTCATAGTTTTGATCTTCTTCTTTATATTAAACAAGTCCCTTTAACATTTCATATAATAATGGTTTGGTGATGATGAACTCCTTTAGTTTTTTCTTGTCTGGGAAGCTCTTTATCTGCCATTTGATTCTAAATGATAGCTTTGCTGGGTAGAGCAGTCTTTGTTGTAGGTCCCTGCTTTTCATGACTTTGAACATTTCTTGCCAATTTCTTCTAGCCTGAAGAGTTTCTTTTGAGAAATCAGCTGGCAGTTTTATGGGAACTCCCCTGCAGGCAACTAACTCCTTTACTCTTGCTGCTTTTAAGATTCTCTCTTTATCTTTAACCTTTGGCATTTTAATTATAATGTCTTGTTTTGGCATTTAATTGTGTGTCTTGGAGTGGGCCTCTTTGCATCCATCTTTTTTGGGACCCTCTGTGCTTCCTAGACTTAAATGCCTATTTCCTTCACCAAATTAGGAAAGTTTTCTTTCATTCCTTTTTCAGATACATTTCCAATATCTTGCTATTTATCTTCTCCTTCTGGCACCCCTATGGTGGGAATATTGCTACACTTGCAGTTTTCCCAGAGGCTGCTTTATCCTCATTTCTTTTTATTCTTGTTGTTCGGTGTGGTTGTTTTTTGCTTTCTTATGTCCCAAATCATGGATTTGATTCTGGGCTTCATCCACTCTACTGTATATTGTTCTCTATTTTAATTAGTGCATCCTTCATTTCTGGGTGAATCTTTCTTATGCTGTTGAATTCCTCACTGAGTTCCTTGAATATCCTTATAACCAGTGTTTGGAACTCAGCATCTGATAGATTGCTTATATCCATTTTATTTAGTTCTTTTTCTGGAGTTTTGATCTGTTCTTTCATCTGGGCTATGTTTCTTTGTCTCCTCATTTTGTCAGCCTCCCCGTGTTTGTTTCTATGTATTAGGAAGAGTTGCTTTGACTCGGTGTCTTGATAGTGTGGCCTAATGTAGTAGGTGTCCTGTAGGGTCCAGTGGCACAGTCTTCCCTATCATCCAAGTTGGGTACTCCAGGTGCACTGTTTGTGTGGCTGAGTACAATTCATCTTGTAGTTGAGCCTTGGTTGCTGTTGGCAGATCAGTGAGAGGGATTTACCCAGGCCAGTCAGCTGCAAGGACTTGCTATGACCACTGACCACCAACCTCCACCCTCCGTGGAGAATCAGCTATTCAGGGGCAGGGTGGTGGTGCTCTGACATAGCCTGAAGCTGTCCCCTGGGTATGCTGGCCCTGGGGTTTTCCAGGTGGTACAGGCCAAGGTCAGCCCCCACCTGTGTTTTGCCTTAGGCTGCCCTGCCTGAGCTATAAAGCCATCTGAGATGGCCACTACTTGTGCTGGGCTTGGAGATTCCCAGGCAAAGCCAAGCTATGACTCTAGACCAGTTGATGCTAGTGCTGGGCCTGAGGCTCCCTGGGGCCAGCTGTTGCTTGTTTGAGAGGATTTAGGAAGTTATGTAGTATGAACCAAGACCAGCCACTCATATGGAAAATCGGCTTGGGTTGGCCTGTAATTTGAGTGGAGCAGAATCTCTGGGGATCTCCAAGATGGGTCAAACAATGTTAGCCAGGTTGATGGAGTCTCAGGTATGGCACCAGCTTGCCAGCTCCATGGCTCTGGGTGGGGGGACTCAGGAAGGGGACAAATGAAAAAGGGCAAACAGTGGAAGAGGGCTGCAAAGAGCAAGAGCAGTGAGTGAGCAGGAAGAAAACTGAAGTGTAGGTCTCACAGAGCAGAAAGATGACTGTTAGTGCTCAATGCTGCTAGGAGGTCTAGTATACTGTGCTGCTGTCCAATGGGGTATTAAAATGTAATTAAAATTTTAATTATTTGGCTATTAAATAAGCCAAATGGCTATTAAATAACCCAATGGCTATTAAAATTTAATTAAAAGTGATTTGTTAAATTTAAATTATTTTAAGGATAAAATCAATTAAATAAAAAATTTTTATAACTCCTTGGCACTTAGCCAATGTCAAGGGTTCAGCAGTCACAGATTAGTTGCTACCGCATTAGACGGTGCAGACTTAGGACATTTTGATCACCACAAAAAGTTCTATTCAACAGAAGAAATTGGAGTCCCAGGCAACCGTGATACCCCTTGAGTGGTGTCTCCAAGGAGTTGTGGTGGTGGCAAACCTGTGGGAGGTCCATATAGGTAGTTAGTAGTATTCTTTATAAACAGCCCTAACAATGCTACTCTCCTCCTATGATAGCTACTGTGTAACTCATGCGTACCTCAAACACACAAGCTCAAGCAAGAGCAAAGCACATCGTTCAACAGCTTTAAGGGTTTCCCTGCCAGCACAAACCCTTATAGCAGAGGTGGCAAACACAAGGCCGACAGGCAGAATCCAGCCCTCCACCTTGTCTTATCCTGCCAGGCACCTTGTTTCTACCCAGCAGCACCACCGAGCTCTCCCTTAACTGTTAAGGAGTAGTTACATTTACACAGACCTAAAATTACATTTGGCCCTTTGAAGGCAACCTGGAGGCTGATGTGGCCTCGGTGAAAATGAATTTGACACCCCTGCTTAAGGTCCCCAAACTCCATCTCCCATCATGCCCTGAACCCTTCTGCGACTCTAGCTCTTAGACTTCTGGGGAATGTAGTTTTTACAGAGCTCAACTCCAGAAAGGTTCTAGCCCTGAACTAAGGCTCCCATGTGGCCACGCATCGGCTTCCAATTCACTGCAGCAGCCAGTTCCAATTCACTGCGGCGGCCAGGTCTGTCAGGAGAAGGCGCCAGAATCAGCACCCGAGGTTCAGTGAAGCGGCGATGGTGGAGTCCCGGAAGAGGAGTATAGTGACAGCGCTGTGCCTCTTCCTGCCACTCCTCAGATCTCCGCCGCTTCGAGGCTGTGGGGACCGGTCAGCCGAAGTGGAGCCAATAGGGGCCCCAGGGAGCTCACTAGACGACTCGGGGTAGCGTGGGACAGCACGCAGCTTGAGGGCCAATGAACGGCCCTGGGCTGGAAGCGCAGGCGCAAATGCAGAACTTGGCGGCCTCTGTAAACACCGAAGGGCGCCTGCGCTAGAGGAACGAATGGGGATGGACTCTAGGGGGCGCCTTAGCCAAGATAACAGAAATAGTAACACAGCGGTCATGTCTTACTTCCGTTGTTCTGTATTTTATGGTTTGCAAAGCTCGGCCCCCTGTGTTATCCCTCTTAATTTGATCTCACGCCAGCCCTGTTACAGGTTGGATAACAGGTCAGAGAAAGTCCCACAGCCAGAGTCCTAGTATCATGGAGTTAGAAGGACCAGATATGGTTCACGGTTTACAGACTCTAGCCCAGGCTCGGCCTCTCACTCGCTGTGTCACCTTGGGTAATTTTGGTTCCTTGGTGACCTAAGCTTTCTCATTTGTAAATGGAAAGAGGTTACTGGGAAGATCAAATCGGATGCAGGAGTGACACTTAATTCCCAAGCTGTCTATAAAGGCAAAATATTATAGAGAGGTGATTGTAGATTGAGGGGCCCATTTTCTCATTCTACAAATTACAAAACTGAGGGCCCCAAAAGGGGCAGGAGCTTGCCCAGGTCTCAACAGTCTGTCAGCAAAGGCTAAGCTCAGCTCTTCTGCCTTCGGTTGTGGAGCCTTCCCTTCACCCAGCGATTTTGCCGGATGCAGTCTTAGAGACACAGGCTGTACTCTTGAAGGTCTGAGGGATGCCCTAGTTCCAATCCTTCTACCCAGCCTGGGCCTAATGGAGGAGGGCCCTGCTCTGTTGGGATGGCTACCAAGAGGCAGGAAGCTAAGAAAGATCCAGAGAATCCTGGAGAATGAGAACAGTGTAGCTGGAGCTGTACAGACCTTGCTTCTCAGGACAGTGGCCCAGGTAAGGGAAGGAGAGGAGCCCAGGTGGGACATATGTGGGGGTAGTTCTTAGGGAACAGACTTTGAGTAGAAAGGAATAGGAAGGCATTGGGCTGTGTTTATTTAAATTTTTTCCCTTCTATTGATTCCAGAGAGAGGGGGAGGTAGGGAGAGAGGGACAGGAACACTGATGTGAGAGAGAAACATGGATCGGCTACCTCCTGCACATGCCCAGACTGAACCTGCAAGCCAGGCATGTGCCCTGACTGGGAGTTGAACCCACAACCTTTTGGTTTGTACAAAGTTGCAAAGTAGCCCTGAGCCACACCGGCCAGGGCTGTGCTCTGTTTCTGAATGTGGGAGCAACTGGGCACTCAGGTGGCTCCAGCTAGGGCCGGCAGCAGCTGAGTTGATGCCTGGGCTGGCTTGAGCAATGAGGAGAGGAAGTAATGTACACTGAGGTGAGACCGTAGAAGCTACTGCCGCCAGTCAGGTGAGCAAGCCAGGTGGCACTATGGGCACACTGTGCCACCCCCAGGATCGGTCAGCTGCCCGCCAGAGAAATGAACTTTTCTCTGTCCCTGAAGTGATGGAGCTGGGCTGTACCCAGGTGTTTCTCTCTGGAGTGTACTTAGAGTTTCTGGAGATAGTAGGGGGAGGGGCTGGGAGACCCTGAGGTCTGGTTGCAGATAGGCCTCCTCAGGCAGGTCATGAAAGGCAAAGGTGTGTAGAAATGGAAACCCAAGATCCTCCCTACACCCAGTATCTAACTCTCTTAGTCTTCACTTGTCAGTGGGGTAAACTGAGGCTAAAGGGGGAAAGGTCTCTGTCAGGGATACACAGGAGTTGGGGTAGAACCGAACTAGGATAGAGATCTTTCCATTAAATGGCAGTATCAAACATCTTCATCAAACATTTATCGAGTCTCTAATGTATACTCAGGGAAGAGCTTCCTTGGGACAGCAGACAGAAGCCAGGATTGTAGTCGAATCTAGCTTTTAACCAGCCTTCCCAGTGACTTCACGCTGTTACCTGGTGTGAGTCACTACCCCTCTCTGTGAAGCATGTGTGTGTGTGTGTGGGTAGGAAACCTTATCCAGGGCTGCCTTGATGTATAACTATGAATTAAAGAAGTTAAGACTTGTAAAGTGCATAAAACAGCACTGGGCATGTGGTACAAACTCAGTAAACATTAGCCACCATAGTGACTGGGGGGCACAGGGCTGAGGCTAGCAGCAGACAGTGCTCTTCCAGAGCCCAGCGGGGGCGGGGATGCTGCAGCCCCAGGTCTGCTCACCTCTCGAATACCTACACTCATGCCCCGGGAGTCTATATTTCTGGGAGTCAAGGGGAAACTCACATCCCTATTTTTCCCTCTGACACTGGGAAACTGGCAGGGAACAGGCACCTTGAGTGTTTAAACTGTTCACACCTCCACATGCAACACGATTCCCTCCCCCACAGCCGGAGGCCCAGTGTTAAGCTGCATATCAGAACCCTGGACAGTCAGACCAGAGCCAGACCCTGGGCTCTTTCCAGCCGCTTCAGGCTGTGGGGTCATGCACAGCCCTTCCTCCCAGCAGGGCAGAAGCCAAAAAAAGGCTGCCGGCAGGGGCTTGGCCTGTGTGTCCCCTGAAGAGAGCACAAGGAGAGGGGGAGCTGGGGAGGGGCCTAGGTGGGACACGGGCCTCTAATGTGGTCAGATATCCTGCCCCTGACCACCCTCCCACCCCCCCACCCCCCGTTTGAAGGTGAATGTCAGGCTCAGTGCCTATTTCACTGTGCTCCAAAGCCTCTATGATGGAGGTCTGGTTCAAACCCCTTATTTATAGAGGGGGCAAGAGAAGTCCAGAGAAGCCAAGAACTCACCAAGGGCCCCACAGTAAGGTGGGAGTGATACTCTGCCTGGCAACTAATTTGGAGGGGGTAGGGCTTCATTTCATCTCTCCTTCCCTGCTGCCCCCACAGTCCTGCTTGGTGCCAGCCCTCAGTGTGGCCACCTTGGTGGGTTCTGGTCGGGGAGTGGTGGGTTAGAGGGGGGTGTTTGGAAAGGTAAGGGGTGGCAGAGTACAGACCTGGTCAGAGAGAAGCCCAGAGCTGACCTGGGTGAGTGGATGGGGAACTCTCCTTGGTGTGGCGGCTGCCGTGGGATTCTCGGGCCTTATTAATCAGTCTGAGACAGCAGAGGATGAAAATACCGTGGGAGCACAATCCTGGAGGAGGGGAGCAAAACGGATTCAAGAATGAGTCACAGAGCCCAAGCCCTAAATTTAGATGATATTGAAGGAGGCATCCTCCCCCAGGGAGCCCTGTGGAAATGCTGCTGACCCAGGGCCTTGGGGCCGAGGGCAGTGGTTGGCAGGTGGCGCCTGCACATCAGTGCCCCGTAAAGAGAAAGCAGTCATTTCGGGTTGCTGCGTAGGCATTTTACAGTGTGTCAGCCCTGTTCACACCCAGAATCTGGACATTTAAATAAGGACTTGAGCTTAGGATCCTGCCACAAGTTCCTGCCTCGCTTTTTCCAGGCACATTTTTAAATGACCACTCAGAGTTGAGCCTGTGAAAAAATTAGTGCCTCTGCTGGGTGCTTGTTGCTGCCCAGCTCTTTGTCTCCTGCCCCCTCGTGACCTGGGACAGGGGACTGCCCTTCTTCCCCTCTTGAGCTCCCTCATTTCTGGGATCTGTAAGTAATAAATCTTGTGACTACTTCCTTTGTGTTAAAGGATTGAAACTGCCTTCAAATCAAAAGGACGGTGGGGTTTTCACTTCTCCAAAGTCAGGAGTTCTGATGCTGAGAGAGCATCCTGCCACCCGAGTGTGGGTGGCTTGTGCTCCGTCATTCAGCAGGTCATCGTTTGCATCTTCTTAATTCGCCAGCTCTGAGTTTTCCAACACATGCCCCATGGAAAAGCAGAGCCTGTCCCAGGCCCACTCCCGTGTGGATTTGGCTCCAGAAGGATTCCTGACACAGAGCAGAGACCATGGTCCCATTCTCAGAGCCCCTGTCGACTCTTCCCTACACCAGCTGTTTGGGAACCAGCCCCTGGAGAGCCGACATCTCAGTACTGTCCTGCCCACAGCCGGGCATGGTTGAGCTCCATGTGTCCTGCTGCTGTCCCAGCATCCAGCTGTTAGACACTGAGGGGGCTCTGGAGATGCAAGGAGCCACTGAGTGAAGACCTCTCAAAGGGGACTGTCCAGGTCTTTTGACATCTGTTTGGAATTGGGGGTAAGGGAGGAGCACAAGACGTCACAGTGCCCGCCCCCCTGCGCCCCCCCGCCCGCCCCCCCGCCCCCCGTCTGCTTTATGCTCAACCAGGTGAACCCATGCTGTTTTGTTTCCCTCAGGTCAGAAGGGGGAGGTACTGTTTCCAGGTCAAAAGAGGCCAGATCTTGGGCACGAAGGCTGTCACCAACCCCTGCAGCTCAGGGACTCAAAATCGTGGTCATTCTGCCCATTGTCGCTTGTGCTGACAGAACAGAACTATGTTCAGTAAAACAGATCAGAAACTGTATCTTTTGACTAAGGAATGGAGAAAAATGATCTTGTGCTTTTCCTCATTCTGTGGCGTTAGGACAATCTAAGACTTAAAGGGTCTGGGGAGGAGTTGGGAGGGCTCAGGGGCAGAGATTTCCCAGAAAGGGGCGGAGAGTTCTCGGACTTCCTAGGGAGCAGGTGCTGTTCCCACCGAACATGCCCAGCCATACCCCTCACGTCTCGTTTTTTGTTAGATCTCCACCCCTGGATTTTTATTGTACTAATGAAGGAAGTTCATCAGAGGTCCCTTTGGAAGGGGTTTCGGGTGCCATCTTGGATTGTTCTGGAGCAAATTTCTTAGTCTGGTTTCTTAGTTGTGGTCCTCAGATTATCTGGTTCCAGCGGGCAGGTTTAGGTAGTCTGCCTGGAAGTTCTGTCTTCTCTTGACAAGCTCAACCTGCTTATGTCAGAGGATATGGGGAGATACAAGAAAAGTAATGGCAGCTTAAAGATGACTAATGTGGTGGCACAACCTGACGGCAGTGCCAGGCCTGGGGGTCGGGGGCTCAGGAGACTCGAGCTGACGGCAGCCGTGGTGTTTATGGAGCACTCGGTGCGTGCCCAGCACAGAGCCGAGCACCCACGTGCACGAGGTCGCTTCGTTGCGTTGCAATGATGTAAATCCCCACTAGTCTACTCGCTTTAGAAACGGGAGACTGAGACACAGAGAGATCAGTACAGTGTTCTGCATCGCACAGCAAGAGGTTCTCGCCCAGACCATTTAGCTCCCTGGCCCAAGCTCTTAGCGATTACGCTGGACTGCAGAGAAGGGATTTCACCAAATTTGTCCTGCCTCCTCTACCACCCTCCCCCCACCCCCTGCCCTCCAGCCCCTGCAGGATAGAGCCCTGGGAGCTGCCCTCCCATCCTGCAGGGCGACCTGGCTCAGGGGAGGGAGGAGTCTACTAATAACCCCACCATCTTGTAGGACTTCCCCATTACAGAGCCCTCCCACCTGCCCCGGTGTGGAGGGGTGTGGAGGCATCGTAAGCATCGCCATCTGACAGAAAAAGACGCCTAGAGAGGTGCAGGACCTTGTGCAAGGTAGGCAAGGCCCAGAGCTGAGCCATGGAGACTTCTGCTTTGGGAGGGCCCCAAGCCCAGCTGGACACCCACACTTCCTCCCCCAACTCTGAGTCTCCCTGCTGATGACATCTGCTGGGCACTGCCGCCTGCAGGAACTCAGTGCTGCTGCTGGGTCAGTGCAGCCTTCCAAAAGCCCTTGAGTTTCCTGTCAGATGTTCCCAGGCCATCTGCCTGACTCCAGGCCCTCCCGGATGAGGTTGTCTGGCCTTTTTACCAGGACCAGGACTCCAGCCCTGGGACCAGGCCCCTTTTCTGGCAGCCCACACAACTTCCTTCTTACGGTTTCTTATTTTTTCAGTCTTAAGGCTGGGCCCTCAGCACCCTGGCTCAGGACATTTTCTACCTTCTGGGACAAGAGGAGCCTCAGGGAAGCATTTAGGATCACCCTTTGGATGGTCAGAGGGGTGAAGGGTCCACCTCCAAAGCCCCAAGGCCCAGGCCATTTGCTCCTGAAGCGAGAAGCTCCTCCAAGAGTCCCACTTGAGGAGCTTGGACCTTCCCAGGGATGCAGCGTGGCCCAGGTGTGAGCATAAGAAACATGCAAACATACACAAAGAGAATTTTTATAAGTTTATTTGAGCCAAAACAAATGACAATTGCCAGGACGCAAGATCTCAAATGCTCCGAGAATGATAGATTTGCAGTTTCTTTCGTGCATTTGAAATTAAGGCAGGAACGCAAGGAGGACTGAAGGAAGGTGGGAGAAAGCACGGTGGGGACAGAGATACAGGACAGTTAATTATGTGCTCTCCTGCCAGTGGTCGGCTTCAGGAGGAGGGGCCTGAAGAGAGAGGCCTTCCCAAGAGGTGTTAGCTAGATGCAGGGAAACAATGGACGCTCTCACTTAAAGCAAAGACGATCCTTTTACTGAAGAAGTGACAGACTCTGGGGAGATGACCCACCACGACCCGCCCCACTAGGAATTTATGATCGAATCACCCTGTGAGGTTACTTTCCATAGAACCCCCTTTTCACCCACAAAGGCACAACATGATTTCCCACACACCCCTACTGCCTCATGCCCCGGGGGCCACAAGCAGGGACATCAAGGAGAGGTTGTTTCTTGCTGGGCCTTACTCGCCTCCTCTGTCAAATGGTGCCTAATGGTCCCTGCCTGACCTTCCACTTGCGGTTGCTATGGAGGTCGGACCAATGAGTGTGGGAGCCTCTTGCTCTGGCCCAGTGCCTCTCCAGAGAGGATGTGCAGACTGCTTGCAGGCAGGTGCATTCAACAGCTGTGCCTGTCTCTTCATCCCCAGGACAGGCGAGGCAACAAGGTCAGAAACGTCCCCTGCCCTGGGGATGCACACAGTCACTGCTGTTGCATGCACATGCTCCAAGCCCAGAGGGAACTTTTATGAGTTTATCTGAGCTAAACTGATGACATATGCCGGGGAGCAAGATCTCAAACGCTCTGGAGAATAACAGTTTTGCAGCTTCTCTTATGCACTTGAAAGTAGGCATGGATATAAGGAAGACTAGCGAAAGAAAGGCGGGGTGGGGTTACAGAACAGCTAGCAGACCAGTGCTCTCTTGAGGGTTAACACCCGCTTCCAGGGTGTTACGTCTGGCATTTCAAAAGCGTGTTTGCCTAGATGCACAGGAACAATGGACAGGGCTGGCTCAAAACTTTTCGCTAAAGAATTCATGGGCCTGGGCATGACTGCGCACCATGACATATAATCTGATCACCCTGTGAGTTTACTGTCCACAGAAGAACCCCTTTTTTTCCCTTCACAAGCGACAGAGGACGATGAGGGGACTGGTGAGACCTGAGCAGAGCTTCGAGGCTTTGTGATGTGGCTATGGCAGTGCCTCAGATGTAAGGCTGCCAGATTTAGCAAATACTTGGGACATACTTATACTAAAAATGATTCTTTGCTTATCTGAAAATCAAATGTCATTAGGCATCCAATGCTTTATCTGGTGACTCTACTTCCTGAGAGCTCCAGCTGACCTCCCATGCCCAAGCACGCCCACCTTTGGCTGGGTGGCTAAGGAAGAGACTGAGATGGTGTGTGGCTGTGTGGGACTGGGACAGGACATCGGTGGGAGGGTATGTTGGCTGTGACAGAGTCTCCAGGAAGAGTGAGGATGTGGGTGACTGACTGTGTGCCTCTCTGTAACTCCCTCAGGCTCCTGCAGCTGTCTTGAGGCAGGGTTTGAGCTGTTTGCTGAGGGAGGCCCAGCAGCTGCCCTGAGCAAACACTTAGATCCGGCTCAGGAAGGGACTAGGACACAGAGCCCATTGCCACCGGCCACCAGATTGTAAAGGAAGTGTCCTTCTCAAGGCCAAGCCAGCCCTGGGGGCCTCAGAGTGCTCTGCCCTGTGCCTTTCCCAGGGGCCCGTGGAAACTGCTCTCCACTCTGCTACTTCCTGGTGACATCACACAGGTCACTGCCCAACCTTCTAGAGCAGTGCCTCCTAGGATACTGCCTTGTTGCTCTAGGCAACCTGGAAATTTCTCCACCCAAACTGGCAGGGGCTCCCCCAGAGGAGGGGGTAGGGGGAGAAGGGACATCAGTGAGGGCCTTCTCATCTCCAGAGGGAGATGGAGGCAGCCAGCCATCCGTCCAACTAGAGGGTGAGTAGGAGGGGTACCCGGAAGCAAATCAAGGCTTGGGACACTAACCCTGGGGCTGAATCTTGAGGCAAAGAGAGGGTGGTGACTGTGTCAAGGTTGCCCCCAGGGTAGTGTAAGAGCTGGGAGCCCTAGATTCTTATCTCTGCTTTGTCCCTGCTGACTGGACCTTTGTTTCTCTCTCTGGGCAGTGAGGGGCTGGGGCTGAAGGACAGTAGTCTGAAGGTTTTAGTTCTGATGGGGACCCAGTGGGGGGAGTTGAAGGGAATGCTAGGGACTAGGCCAGGGATGGCTCCGGCAGCTGCCCTGCCCCTGCTCCACCGGCTTTCAGGGGGCAGTGTGCAAAGTCTGGCGAGAATCTTTCCAAGTGAGCCCCCAATCTCACTCCAATAGTCACAAACCTGAGGCACCAGAGGCCCCCATATGGGCTCTGACCTGCTGTGTGATTCAGGAGCGTCCTGTGCCTCCAGGAGACTCAGTTACTCTCTCTGTGAGGCACACATGTAAGACCCAGTGCTTGCTCAGCACCCTGGGTAATAGTTCCTCACATTCCCTTGCCACCTCTCAGTTTTCTAAGCACCTTCTCCTCTGGAACACACTCCTGCCTTCCACGCCCACTCTGACTCCTGCTTGGTGATGCCCATTCTGCGGTGGGACCCAGACAAAAGAGAGACCTGGGCCCTGTCCTGGGGGCCCAAGGGGCACCTCCATCCACTTCCTGTGGAGGGGGCCAGTGGCTGGGACAGGGCTGAGGGGCACAGCAGGCTCACACTTTATCAGCCTTTTCCACAGTTGATTTAACCTTTCATGAGAATCTTAACCATCGTACCTACATGTTGTTACCTTAACACTTCCTGTTGAAAACTTGCCATTTTGGAATAGTTTATTCCTCCCTGCTATCTTCCCTCCCACCCCCAGTTATATTTTTGATTATTTATTTGGGGGTGAAACTGACACACTGCCACTCTTTGCAATAATTCTCAAAAAAGTAGGTGTTACTATTCTAGAAGCTCAGAGAGGACATGAAACGTGCCCTTGGTCACACAGGTAGGAAATGGGATAGTCAGGATTTGAATCCAGGTCCACAGGCCCCTTGACTGCCAGACGGTAGGAAGCAGGGTTGGCTGAGGCCTAGGACTCCTGTTCAGGCTCCTTCTCCATGGCCCCTCCCAGCCTTCACTCTTCGGTCCTTGCGCAGATCCTTTCAGCTGCTTGGGAGTGTTTGAGACAGGATATGAATCTGCTTTGATGCTGGCATGTTTGGGAAGCTGTCATAAACCCCTGAGCCAGAGACATCCAAATTCCTGGTAGGGGGGTGCTTGCAAAGACAAATTATTGATGAGTAGGATGGGGAGTGATGCCCCTCTGTCCACTGGCCAGTTAGCATGGCCTGAGCCTAGCACCCAGGGTTGAGCCCAGAGAGTGGCCATCTAAGCCCAAGGACACCAGGTCACCCACCATTTCTGACCCAAGACTGAAAAGCTTCATTCTTGGTTAATCTACGTTAGGATTTAAGTAATGGTATGGTATTTCCGTCTCTATTTCCCTGTCTGCCTGAGACTGGCAGCTCTCTGGGTGTGGGAAAGTCCTTCTGTCAGCCTGTCCTCATTATTACCTCTTGCTGTCTGTCACCCCAGCCTGCCTTATCTGTTACCCTGGACTGGGTGATAGGCACGCGCAGTTTACTGCCCTAGTGCCTGTGGACAGCTAAAATGTGTGTTGTTGGGGCCCTCGGAAGGCAGCAGCCACCAGGCCTGTGCTCCCCTCTCTTTTCCTCATGGCAGATCCTAGAGGCTACCGTTCCATTCACAAAGCAGGCTCTGCTTACGTGTCTTTGTGTCTCCCACAAGCCTGAGTGTGAAGCTTTCAGACAAAACCACTGAGGCCAGGGCAGGGGCAGTGACCTGCCTAGAGTTGGGGTGGAGGCAGAGGAGGTACACAGTGAGAGCCAGAGCCCCAGCCTCCTGAGACCAGAGCCAGCCCGCCTGCCACCCGCTCCCAAGCACTTAAAGATTGTGGCTTAGGAGGGGAGGGGTGATTATCTGCCATCCGTACTGCAGATCTAAAGTCTCACTGCGGGCCCAAAACTTACTTTACAGGATTTCCTTTATAGAATACCATCTATAAAGGGATGTGATGGCAAGGAGTCACTTGTCATCCCATCCCTGCTGACCATCACCACTTTTGAAACATCTCAAAGCCCAAAGCTCCTCATGAAGAAACACCTGTATTTTCGAACCCATTGAACCCACTGTGATAACTCCTCATCTTCCTCTAGCGACTTTAGGAGAAGCTGTTCCATCCCAGAGCTCTAGAATGGTGAGGCTAGGAGGTTACACATTCTGATTGCCTCATTTTACAGATGGGAAACTAAGGACCAGAGCAGATAGGCAGCCAGAGCAGAGCAGAGCAGAGAACCCTGTGATGGGAGGAGGCTGAGACCTGGGTTCTGGACAGGATGCCGAAGTAGGATGTACTCACTGTGTGATACTGGGAAAATGGTGGGCACTTGTTGGGCCCTGTTAGCTGCCCATCACTCTGTGGTTAAGGGACAGTCACTGGGGTCAGTGAATGTTCAGCCTTGGGCCCTCTGCCACACTGGCTAGGCCTCAGAAAAGTTTAATTATTGACTTCAGTTCACACAGAGCAGTTGGAGGCAGAGCTGGCACTAGGACCCAGAGGGCAGATGGCAGCCTCCCAGGCTGGAAGGGGTGGCTGGAGGGCTGGTGGATATATCTCCCCATGGCTATGGAGCATGGCCAGCTCTGCCTAGCAAGGGACATGGAGCCCCAGTGCTCTGGAGCCAGAGTCTTTTGAGAGCCTAGTCTAGTCCATGGGAGGTGTGTGGACAAGCACATGGGTGCTCAGGAGGGGTGGTGATGGACAAGGGCCAGAGTCTCAGGCTGGAGGGTAGCCTTGTTAAAGCTCCCAGATGGAAGTGGAGATTTTGCCAGCCTGTGAGCCTTTCGGCTAGTGGTTGGTCAGGAATGCAAGCTGTGGGCACCTCTGAGCTGTTCTTGATTGTGGTGGGGGTGGTGTGCCCATCCTTGGGTCTCTGGGGTGTTGTTTGGCCGGGGGTTCTCTGTGCTCTGGAGTCAGCATGCCTGTGTGTAAGTAGGTCGTTGCAGAGTTGTGCACCTGTGAGTACGGGAGGTGGGTGGAGAGAAGGGGGTCACAATTACCTTCCAGAGTCTCTATTCTAGCGCCTTCATGCCCGTCTTCTCAGAGCCCGCTCTATCTTGGCCCCTCCCCGCCCTGTCTCCAAACCTTGCCTGAGCACGGGTCCTGCCCAGGTCAGGTCCCCTCCCGGAGGGCGGGGAGGGCGCTAGGACCCTGCGGGGCGGGGCGGGGCGGGGCTCCGAGCTCCGTCCGCTATACCTCCGCAGCCTGGAAAATACCGAGCTCCAGCGAGCGGTGGCCCCGAGCCCCCAGCCTAGCCCGGAGGGAGGGAAGGGGCGCGCGGGGCGGGGGGCGCGGGGCAGGCCGAGCGGCAGGACCACTGCTCCTCCCCCCAGACCCCCTGCGTGGCCCCGGGTCGCCGGGGTAGCGGTGGCGCGGAGGCTGCGGCGGTGCTCGCACTCCGGCCCCGGCGGAGCAGCGGGCACAGGTGAGCTGCCGGCCGGCGAGCGTCCACCCCGCCGGCACCCCGCCCCGCGCAGTTTCCGCGCCGGCGCCGCTGCCCGAGTGAGTTGAGCAGCCCGGCCAGCACCGCGCGGACACCTCCGGACCATCCGTCACCTCGGTCCTGGCCTCTCCCGGGACCCGACGGGCTCTCGCAGCCCCTCGCCCCACACCCGACACGCAGCCCCCACTCCAGCCCCAGGGAGGTCTGGGGTCGCTCCTTGGGGATGCCCCCAGTGACTGCTCTTCGCCGGTTCGCTCTCCCCAGGGGCCAGCCCCTGCTCATCTCGAACTCTCCACCGCCCAGGACCCCGGACAGCCCCACCCGCACCCCTAGCGCACTCACTCCGGTCCCCAAACCGGTCTTGCAGGTCCCAGGAAGGTGGCGTCAGCATCTGCAGCCGCGTCGACGTAGTTGGAACCTCCGCGGAGGACCCAGGAGAGCCGGACTAGGACCAGGGCCCTGGGTTTCTCCATGGAGAAGTCGGCGGCCTCAACAGAGCCGCAGGGGCCTCGGCCGGTCCTGGGCCGCGACAGCGTCCAGGTACCCGACGACCAGGACTTCCGCAGCTTCCGGTCAGAGTGTGAGGCCGAGGCGGGCTGGAACCTGACCTACAGCAAGGCCGGTGTGTCTGTGTGGGTGCAGGCTGTGGAGATGGATCGGACCCTGCACAAGATCAAGGTAGGGTTGCGCTCCTGCACGTGCAGCCTCACCGCCTCCGACAGGGACTCTCCTGGTCCTCCCTCAGAGTCACAGACACCTGCTTGTGCATTTCAGAACAAGCCTCTTGCCAGGAACCGGGAGGAGGCACAGTTTGTTCTATAAGCCCCCATCACACAGATGGGCCAACTGAGGCCTGGAGAGGGGGTGTGACTAGGTTTGTAGTTCAACAAGCTAAACCCAGGCTTCTGCATGCCCCTGCCTCATCCAGGGAGGTGGACCGCTGCCAGGCCCATCCAGGAGAGTGACTCCCTCAGGGACCCCTCTGCCCCCACTAGCTTTCACCTGGTACCTGATCTGAGTCATTCAAGGTGGGAGACTGAGCCTTCTCTCCCTGGTTCTCTCATTCCAAGCTGGGTCTCTTTCCCTACTCTCTGCATACTTGGGTGCCAGGGACCTGATTCCTTCCTGCCTGGTGCCCTGCTCTTCCCCCTTCCCTCCCTGTCTGCTCCCTGAGTCTCCTGTAGGGACTCAGGGTTGAGGCTGGCAGGTCCTGAAGGCAGGGCTTGGATGTGCTTGCTTTACTCAGGGCCAGGCAGGGGGTGAACTGGGGGGTGAGGGGGAGGCAAGAAGAGGCGGAGCACATCAGCCCCTTCACAGCCATCAGCCCTGTTCCTCATAGCCCCATGATTTTTCTCTCTTTGCCTCATCAGGACGGGCTTAGAGTGTGGAACCCCGTGAGCCCACCTCTCCTGGGGCACTAGATAGGGCAGAGGCTGGTGAAGACTCTGGTCCAGAGGCATCAGTCGCTGCCCCTAGCACATGTGGCCTTGTGTGAGTGCCACGTTTTGAGGGGGGTGGTCTCCCTGCAGTGGGCTCCTGGCAGTAGGCTGTGCCCTTTACCTCCCTTCCCCTTCCCTTGCCTCTCCCTTTCTGTGTCCTTCTGGAACTGTGAAGGTATGTGTTCCTGTTGCAAGGGATGGTGGGTCAGGGCCTTGGACTCAGACTTCCCTCCCTTCCCGCACTCCAGCCCCTCCTGCCTGGGCCCTTCTCTCAGACTTAGCTCAGGCATCTCGGTCTCATCCCCAGAGATGTCTGACTCTCCGTCGTCTCTGACCTTGTGCCTTTCTGATCCCTTTTTACAGTCATTTACAGGTTCGTCCATCTGTCCCCATGTGGCCCTCTGGCTACCCTTTCTGGTTTTCCTTCTCCCTTCTATGACCCTCTGCAATCTGCTTTTCCCTGTGGGACTCTCTGCCCAGGCCTGAGGACCATGGACTAGAGGACGGTGGGCTAGAGGACCTTGCCTGGGGGCCTGACCTGTGTCTGAGCCTGAGGTGCAGGGAAGGGGAGGGCAGCTGGTACCTGCCAGCTTGGCGCTCGCTGAAGACAAGGAATAGGTCCTATCCCAGTTTGTGTCTCCTGCACCCAACACTGACAGAGCAGGGATGTTGGTTGAATGAAGGATGGAATGAAGGAAGGAATAAACTGAACAACTGAACAAAAGGTGAACAAGGTTGTTGTGAGAACAAGGTTGTTTTCCTGACCTTGGCTTGGGAAAGGCTCAAGGATGGCTGCATGGCGGGGTGGGGAGTGTAGTCTCCCCACTGCGATGGCTCTCCAGAGGGGGGAAGGGGAAGATCTGAACTGAGTCTGGTACTCCCACCCTGTGTCAACAGGGTGGAGCTTCCTCCTCCAGCTGCCTTGGTTAATGAATAAACCAGCCCGGTTCAGGACTCGAGTTGATGGTCTGGGGGCCAGACCACCACTACAGTTCAGACTTATCCAATAGCCTTCCCTGGGGGCGGAGGGGACCTGGAAAAATCAGGGTGTTGCGGGCTTGTGGTTGGGGCAGTCACCCTCCCTAGCAGCCAGGACACTGACCCTTCTTCCCTCTCAGACTGAGCAGAGACTGGAGGTGCCTAAGGGCCCTTGGCAATCCCCTGTTTCAGACTCCCCCTCACTAGGGTGCAAGTGAGGACGCCGAGGTCCAGAGAGGGACAGGGGCCAGCCCAGGGTCATATAGCCAAGTTCCAGCAGAGCTGGGCTTGGAACCCAGATATCCAGCCTCTCAGCTTAGCCCTCTCTGTCTTATTTTTCTCCCAGTTGCTGCCTTCCAGATCTGCTCCCTCCGGTGGGGTGAGGGTGGGGGGCTGTAGGTTAGGCAGAACTGGGGTGTCATGTACCCCACTCCTGATCCCCTCAGCAGTCAGGTGGACCTCTGGGAGATGGACAGAAGTCCCTGACCTGCTCACCCCTAAAATTTCAGGAATACCCTTTCTAAGAGCCTCTGTTTTGAGCCAAGCATTTTTCTCCAGCATCTAATGTACCCTCAGGCTAGGCGTGGGCAGTGGTAGGCTCGTTTCTGTGCCACAAAGAAACTGAGGCAGAAAACTGTGATGACATTGACCTAAGGCTGCAGGGCAGCTGGGTAGAACCCAGGCCCACCTGGCTCCAGAGCCCCTGCCCCTCTCTGCCTGGGCTCACATCTTAGTCAGCATTATGGCATTTGACCCCATCAATTACCATGTGAAGGACACCGTGTTCTCATCCCATTCTCTTTTGACAAATGAGAAAGCTGAGGCACAGAAAGGGGCATGGCTTGCCAAGGTCACACAGCAGGTCTGAAGCCAAAGTCCCAGAGCTGATTGGGTCACTCCTGGAGGCTGGAACTCAATCACAGGTGTTTGTTGAACTTCTGCCTGCTCCCCCCACTCCCTCAGAGGGCGCTTTCTAGGCCCGCCCGCCCCCTGGGCTGGGAAAGCCAGCAGCCCCTGGACTGGGCCTGTACTGGTAATCACGGGGTGGGTGTGTAGATCTGGATCCGACTGTCTGTCTACCTGATTGATTTTCTCCATCTTATCTCCCTTCCCCCACGCTCCTGACTTATCTCTTCCTACCCCTGTTTCCAGAGGTCCCTGGATGCCACTGTGGCACTGGGCCCGGCATTCGGTGCCAGGACAATGAGAAGGGGCTGCTGGAGGCCCTTTCCCTCCCTCTGGCCTCCAGCCCGGCCTGGCCCAAGGCCTGCGCTGTGCTCTGGGCACTAGAGAGAAGGCAGACGCCACCTCCTGGGAGGTCAGGCCCTGTCCCAGAGGCAGATGTCGAACACGCATCCTGGTCCAAGGCAGAGGGCAGCCTGGAACCTGAACCCAGGTCTCTTGGCACCCAGACCAGGCTTCCTGTGACTCCCGTAGTGTTGCGAGAGACAGGTGTCCAGAGGCCCCGTCAGTCAGTCGGGGCCAGCTGGGCAAGAGGTTGGTGTCTGGCTGAGCTGTCCTCTTCTGTGTGTGTGACAGTGGGCACATCCCTGCCCCTCTCTGAGCTGTCTGTCTTTCTGTGTCATGGGGCTCTCTGGGCCCCAAGAGCCTCTGAATTCAGTGTTTGTGCCGGGGCCTGTGGGAATGGAATGAGGAATGGAGGACGGAAAGCCAGAGGGGACATGGCCTGCCCAGCCCTGCCCAGTGCTGCTGTGCTCAGGCTCTCCAGTGCTGCTGCGCGCCTCGCCTGGCACCTGGCTGGCCGTGTGGGAGAGAGACAGAGAGACAGAGGAAGAGACCTGGCCCTTGTCCTCAGAGGTTTTCGACCCTGGTGGGGAAAGGGTTGACAATTCCAGGTGACCCCTGTCTACTCTTGGAGCAGGCAGACCCCGAGGCAGGAGTGGGCCCGGTGGGAAGGGTCTTGAGGGGCTCGGTGGCTGGAGTAGGGGTGGGCGATCTCTTGGGGGAGCGCGGCTGAGAACCTGAGGTTCCTGTTGCCATAGGAAGCTGGGCAGCGGGGACCTGTCTTCTCTGACTTCCTGTCCTATGGCTCCTCCCCTTCCCCCTTGGAGAAAGCTCCAGTAGCCCCTCACTGCCCTGTCTCATTATCCACCTGCTCCCCACCCCCCACCCAAGCTCTCAAGCCAGCGCGCAGTCCTGTCAGCTCTCGGCACTTATTCTCTCTGCCTTTGACATGGGGGGTCAGGGGTCCTATCGGGGTGCTCCAAGGGCCCTTTTCACTCATACAAGTCTGTGGGACTCAGAAGGTCATGGGGAAGGTGGGGGCAGGGGTGGGGCCAGGTGTTTGGTCTTTCTACTGTGTCTTCACAACTGTCCTGTGGCATAGGTCTTATTAAGCCCATCAAACAGATGTGGAAACTGAGACTCAGAGCAGGAATTTACTTGGGCAAGGGCAAATAGAAAGTGGCTAAAGCAGGATCAGAACCCAGGTCCTTGAGTTCAAGGCTGAGACCTCTAAAGCTGAGATCTCTCTGCTCCCTTAGGCCTTTCTGTCTCCAGGACCTCGTGGCTCATAACTTTCTCTCTCTGCTCATTTGGGTCTTGCTGTGCTGTGTCACTGTGGGAGGGCATCCTGGAGGGGACCCAGCTGGGCATGAGCCCAGTCTTTGCTGTGTGACCTTGGGGGTCATTTCACCTTTTAGAGTTAGTTTTCTTATCTGTGGTGGCAGAGCTGGGAGTTAGTCTGGTTTTAGGGCTTTGCATTAGGTGAGTTCAGGTGCAGGGTGGGCCTCTGTCCCCTCTGGGCCTCAATTTCCCCATTTCTACAGGAAGTTGCTGGGCAGGTGGTCTGTAGAGGCCATCCTGGCCTTAGGCCATGGTAAGGGGTTGTGGACACAGAGTAAGGGCAGATAGCTAAGGCCTTGCCAGTCTTTAGGTGTGTGTGTTTGGGGGGTGGGGGAGCAGTGCTCAGAAAGGGAAAGATCAGAAGTGGCTGGAGGCTTTAGAGAAGGCTTCCTGGAGGAGGTGTCTGGGTCAGTTTGAGGCTGTAAGTGAGAGAAAACTGGGTCCAAAGTGCCAGCCCCATGGCCATAGGCAGGTTGCTGCCCCTGCCTGGGCTTTCACTTCCTCATCTGTCAAATGTGGATGGCAGTGCTGCCCTGCCTGTCCCAGGCATTTTCATTCATTCACTCACAAATTTAGTGGGCATTCACTTACAGCACCTCTGCCTGGCTTTGTGCTGGAGGTTGGGGACAGAGAGGGGAATCAAACTTGAGCCCTGCGCTCAAGGAGCTCCCTATT